AAATATCTTGTTTCTTTATGATTTTGTGACTGAGCAGCTCAGATTTTAATTTAGTATAATTGTTTATTTTGCATTGTTTAATTCATAAATTATATGTTATGGAAATAAAATTCTAATAAATAGTTATAAGCTGAAATGACTTTCGAATCGAATCTTGGTTGCAGGCCAAGGTTTTTTTTGTATTTTTAAATAAGTTGTAGGAATCAAAATGAGGTCAAAACTGTAGAGCTGTAGCTCTCTAAAAAAAATTTTTTTTATTGCAGCTAAGTGAGATCCTTATATGGAAATAATCTTTTAAAAGTATAATATCGTTTCTTTTTTTCTGGTATGTTATTTGTTCGATAAATGTAGGGGGCTATAAATGATCGACTTCAAGATCTCATTTTTCTTAAGAAAGAGGGATCGATTTTGATTTTTCCATACTTAGAAAATTCTTTCTCGATCTCTTAAATGTTTTACTTTAGTTTACTCAAAATTTTCCAGTTTCCATGCATTTTATGTAAGTTAAAATTTATTGAATGTTTTCAACGTCATACCATTTACTGTAGCATAGGCATCAGAACCAGGGCATAGGCAGGGGGAGGGGGGCTATGGGACTTAGGTATCCCACTCTTTTGCAAAGATATACATAATATAGGCATTGAAAATTGGGATTTATACATTGGGGGGGGGGGGGGTAAGTATATGGGAAAAACTAGTTGGGCTGAGAGACCTACTCTTCAAAGATACGACTGTTAAAAATTAATTACCAGAATTTTTGTTTATACATATTTTTTTTTCAAAGTGCGTTAACGTTATGTGTCCGCATAGTAAAAAAAATTGATATTCACTCATAACGCACTTTGAAAAAAAATTCAAGTTACGTTGAGTGTGTTTCCACGCATTTTGAATTGTTTTCAAAGCGCTGTGGCAACGCACTTTGAAAAAATTACGCACTTTGAAAAAAATTTTCAAAGTGCGTTAAAATTGGGACAAAATCAACGCACTTTGAAAAAAATTTTCAAAGTGCGTTAAATTTGGGACCAGCTCAACGCACTTTGAAATTTTTTTTCAAAGTGCGTTAAGAGTCTACAACATTATATTTTACCATGGAGACACTTAACGCACTTTGAAAAAAAAAATCATATTTTAGTCATAGAAAGATTTTATATGTTATTTATCTTTCAAAAAACTAAGCCTAACCCTAACCTCAAAAATGAATTGATTTACTCCCGTCGAAAAGAGGAGAAGACGGGTATAAGATCCCTCAGTCCAAATCTTTATCTTTCCAATACATAGGTGTCGGTAACAAACGGGGGAGGGGAGCAATAAACCTAAAAAGGGTATGCTGCATTTTCAATGCTTATACGATGTATATATCTTTCCAAAATAAGTTGGGGGCTTAGCCCCCCATCCCCTACCCTGGCCCTTCGCCCAGTCTCAATGTCTATGCTATACTCAAAGCATTCATATAATTATGTATTTACCTAACTGGTATGACCTTGAAAACTTCCAATGATAAATGAGTTAATTAAAACAGATTAAAACTAGAAATTTTTAAGTACAGTAAAACGTGTGAGAGAGAAAGAATGTTCATAGTTTTGAACAATCAAATTGGCCCCTTTTTATTATGATAAATGCTAAGTTGCTTGAAGCTGTCCTCTGTTAGTGCCCCCTATACACCTTTACATCTACTTATCAAAGACTTGAATTAAAAAAAGAAGAAGAAACGAATTAATGAACATAAACAATCGTCACTCTTTTTTTCAAGACCCTTTAATTTTCCCTTTTATTTTATCAAAACCTTAAATATTTAAAACGTCAATATCTCAGGTCCTACAGTGACTTTATCTCAAAAAAGTTATCAAACCAGGATCTGTTATTTATCATACCGATTATTTGAAGGAATATTGATCAATCTTAACATTTTTTTCAAAGTGCGTTAATATGGTCGATATTAACGCACTTTGAAAAAAAATTATTTTTTTCAAAGTGCGTTAGCTTGGTCCCAAATTTTAACGCACTTTGAAATTTTTTTTCAAAGTGCTTAATTTTTCAAAGTGCGTTGTAACAAAGCGCGTTGATTTTGTCCCAGTTTTAACGCACTTTGAAATTTTTTTTCAAAGTGCGTAATTTTTAGCTCTACTGGTCAGAGACCAGAAGAGCTTATGCGATAGTAATGCGTCCGTCGTCCGTCCGTCTGTCTGTCCGTCTGTCTGTCTGTCTGTCTGTAAACAATCTTTCAAAATGCTACTCCTCCTACAGTTTTGGTCTGATTTCAATATAACTTGGCACACAAGTAGACTACACTAAGATACATAATTCTGTGTATCGGTTTTTGATTTCGTTGAACGGTGTTGCCGTTGTTGCTAAAAATAGAAATTTCTGTGAAATTCTTTCAAAATGCTACTCCTCCTACAGTTTTGGTCTGGTTTCAATATAACTTGGCACACAAGTAGACTACACTAAGATACATAATTCTGTGTATCGGTTTTTGATTTCGATTAACGGTATTGCCGTTGTTGCTAAAAATAGAAATTTCTGTGAAATTCTTTCAAAATGCTACTCCTCCTACAGTTTTGGTCTGATTTCAATATAACTTGGCACACAAGTAGACTACACTAAGATACATAATTCTGTGTATCGGTTTTTGATTTCGATTAACGGTGTTGCCGTTGTTGCTAAAAATAGAAATTTCTGTGAAATTCTTTCAAAATGCTACTCCTCCTACAGTTTTAGTCTAATTTCAATATAACTTGGCACACAAGTAGACTACACTAAGATACACAATTCTGTGTATCGGTTTTTGATTTCGATGAACGGTGTTGCCGTGGTTACTAAAAATAGAAATTTCTGTGAAATTCTTTCAAAATGCTACTTCTTCTACAGTTTTAATCTGATTTCAATATAACTTGGCACACAAGTAGACTACAATAAGATACATAATTCTGTGTATCAGTTTTTGATTTCGATGAACGGTGTTCCGTGGTTACTAAAAATAGAAATTTCTGTGAATTTCTTTCAAAATGCTACTCCTCCTACAGTTTTAGTCTAATTTCAATATAACTTGGCACACAAGTAGCCTACACTAAGATACACAATTCTGTGCATCGGTTTTTGATTTCGATGAACGGTGTTGCCGTGGTTACTAAAAATAGAAATTTCTGTGAAATTCTTTCAAAATGCTACTTCTTCTACAGTTTTAATCTGATTTCAATATAACTTGGCACACAAGTAGACTACAATAAGATACATAATTCTGTGTATCAGTTTTTGATTTCGATGAACGGTGTTCCGTGGTTACTAAAAATAGAAATTTCTGTGAATTTCTTTCAAAATGCTACTCCTCCTACAGTTTTAGTCTAATTTCAATATAACTTGGCACACAAGTAGCCTACACTAAGATACACAATTCTGTGCATCGGTTTTTGATTTCGATGAACGGTGTTGCCGTGGTTACTAAAAATAGAAATTTCTGTGAAATTCTTTCAAAATGCTACTCCTTCTACAGTTTTAGTCTGATTTCAATATAACTTGGCACACAAGTAGACTACAATAAGATACATAATTCTGTGTATCAGTTTTTGATTTCGATGAACGGTGTTCCATGGTTACTAAAAATAGAAATTTCTGTGAAATTCTTTCAAAATGCTACTCCTCCTACAGTTTTAGTCTAATTTCAATATAACTTGGCACACAAGTAGACTACTCTAAGATACATAATTCTGTATGTCGGTTTTTGATTTCGATGAACGGTGTTGCCGTGGTTACTAAAAATAGAAATTTCTGTGAAATTCTTTCAAAATGCTACTCCTCCTATAGTTTTAGTCTGATTTCAATATAACTTGGCACACAAGTAGACTACACTAAGATACACAATTCTGTATATCAGTTTTTGATTTTGATGAACGGTGTTGCCGTGGTTACTAAAAATATAAATTTCTGTGAAATTCTTTCAAAATGCTACTCCTTCTACAGTTTTAGTCTGATTTCAATATAACTTGGCACACAAGTAGACTACAATAAGATACATAATTCTGTGTATCGGTTATTGATTTCGATGAACGGTGTTGCCGTGGTTACTAAAAATAGAAATTTCTGTGAAATTCTTTCAAAATGCTACTCCAAATACAATTTTAGTCTGATTATAATATAAATGTGGCATGCAAGTAGACTGCACTAAGAACATAAAGAGACTTAATCAAGGATCATTATTCTATTTATTGCTGTTGAAAAGTTTCAATTTCCAACTGCTTAAGTACTTTTCTCTTCCTTTGCTATAAGTACAAACCAGTAGAGCTTCAGTCTCGACAGAGACTTCTGGTTTCAAAGTGCGTTGCCACAATGGTATACCGTGGGACAGATTATAACAGGTTATAGGTACCGATCACCAAACTTCCCTCAGGTGTTTGTGGACAGCAAACCCACCCACCCCGAATTTACACCCAGAGTCAATAGAGTTTATTTCTAATTTTATAAATTATTCTTTTAGTGCATATTTACGGGTGTATTATTCGGTGGATGGGGGTCTTGTCCCCAAGTACCTGCTGTTACATTATTCAAAAGCTGAGAAGTGACATTCTTAAGGAAAACGGAAGCATCTAGTATTCTGACCGATTTTTTGTAGAAAAAGAATAAACTGTAATTAGTCGAAAATACAGAAATGTACATTCTAATATTCTATACAACGTCAACGCTTGCGATTTTTACGTGTACATATAGAAGCAATTCGATCCTCTTCCAAATGACTTCGCAAACGTTTTTTTCTAAGAAAAATCTGTCAGAATACTAGAAGATGATGCTTCTTTTAAACACGTTTAACATTTGTCATATATTTATTAACTTCAGTGTACTATTAGGCCGTATTTTGTACCAGGTATATTAAATAAGATGTTCTGTACAGTAAGTACATGTACAATATATAAGTATTTTTTTTTATTTTTCGCTCATCTTTATTCTAACTTGAATCAAATAATACAATGGTCACATTATTTTATTGTTTTTTGTAGAAACATTTTGACAAAGAAAGTCGACCATATCCTATTGTCAGATTGAGCAACATGAATGGAAGTTTAAACCAAAACATGTCAGTTCGGTCTGGTATTTGTCGAAAACTCCATTTTTGCATGGTGTGCGGAAAGGCATACTGTCGGAAAATAGAACTGGACATGCACTTGTTTTGCCATTCTGTTCCGCTTCAGTCACCGGAAAACATGTGGCGACGCCACGTGACGGATCTGATGACGCAATGTCCCGGGTGCTCGAGAGGATTTTGCAGACGACAGGATTTGATACATCATATGGACGGTGAAGGAAACTGCATGAAGGATAACTCAAATTTTATACAAGAAACAGTGAAAGGAGAAAATAGTTACTGTGCAGATTTATTGAACTCAGAAAACTCGATGCAAACGCCCAAACTATTTCAATTGACAGAAAATCGTGTACATGAATTCGGTAAAAGCACAAGGAAATTGGACAGACAGCGCGCCATAGTGCAAAAATTTTTAGATGCAGAAAAACGGACTCCGTTTGCTGAAATTGAAAGTGATGAAAATTGTAACACAATTTACACTTTTAGAAAACGTGGTCGTCCCAAGAGTCAAGATACATGTATCAAAGGTATATCTAAGGAATCGCCAAACTCACCGGATGGACACTTGAAGAAACGGGACAAAAATTACTTTCAGTGCCAAAAATGTAATCGTATGTTTAATAACAAGACAAATTTGATTATCCATGAAAGAATTCATACCGACACTAGACCGTTCAATTGTAAATTTTGTCACAAGTCGTTTCGCCAGTTGTCGCACATGCGCTGTCACGAGCGTCGCCATACAATGGAAGAACCCTATTCCTGTGAAATCTGCTGCAAAAGATTCAAACAACCGTCCGGTTTATTTATTCACTGCAAGAAACACCATGCTTGAAAAGGATGTTAAGTATCGGATCCTGACGGACTGAATTACAGACTACTTTTTGGAATTATCATTTTTTAAATTTGCATGCCACTAAAATCAATTACAATAATCAATTTCATTAGGATTTTATAACATCTATTAATACAGTGTATAATAATTCAAAATAAATTCTTGTTCATTTATTTAATTTTTAATATAGACTTTACATGTAGTATACAATAGAGATCGTTACCATTTTTTTTTTAAAATTTCGATTACAAAAGTGTTTTTCCAGTCACAGGAAGCTACATGTAACATGTTGTGTACAGTCATTTTTTTTTTTAGTTTTGTATTATTCATGTTATTTTTGTTTCTTTACTATTACGTTGTTGTTCACAAATTTCATATTTGAAAAATTAAACCTTGGTTTTTGCTGATAAAGTTATTTTTACAAATGTCATCTTGTAAGTTTGTAAATCTGTACAGTCACGGTCGGCAGTCCTCGGCTGACACCGCTACGCTCCATGATTCAAACCTCGGATGTGAAAGTGGAGGAATACGCATCAGGTCGATACATTGCTCCGCCGAAAACTTCCTTGTCACTCATTTCATATTTCCATCTGCATAAAGTTTATTAATTTAAAAATTTACTTAAAAACTTTATCAGCGATGTGTTTTATGACATGAAATTGTCAAGTTACCATATTTAAATTCAAATTGAAGTGCTTGTAGAGGATCGTAAAGGGCAATGAAACATCACAGGAATCTTTATCGTCAAAACAAAATAAAACCAAAAAAAAAAAAATTAAAATAAGATAAAAAAAAAAAACGGAAAAAAATCTCCACCCTCAAAAAAAAAAAAAAACGTGTTTTTTTTTTTTGTAGTTGAGGGTGGGAAAATATTTTTCCGGATTTTTTTTTTACGATAAAAACTTCAGACTCCTGTAGAAACATGGACCTTATTTGTTGCTAGGCAACATATTTGATTTTCAAAAAACCCCATGGATTTGACTTCTATTCATATAATTATATATTTGTAAATATCAATGCAAATAAATAGAGAATTATTTGTTTGTTAAAAATAATTGTATGTTTTATAATTGATTCACTGACTGCTTTTCAATACTAATTCTATAAGAGAAATTCCCCTGTTTTTAGTTTGAAATACACGCAACAACTGTATTATAATACCATAGTCTATTTTTACTTCAAGTACCATTCCTCATTTTTCTGCCAGAATCTACTCTGCTCTGTTTTTTGCCAAAAATGATATCAAAAAATATTTGAATTGAAAAGAGCATTTATTACAAATGCCAATGAAATATACCGCAGTATTGTTTGATACTAAATATATGTTACACCTGTCACAGTAAAAAAATAAAAACATCCCAAAAGGTACATACAATAAAAATGAAATGCATATCTTAAATTTGTCCCAATTAATATAGAACAATAACGCATATAGGACTCTATAAGTACATGTGTATGTACACAATAAAACACGCAAATGTATTAAGATGGCCTCTTTTTAAATTAGGCGTTGAATATTGTCATAGTCATGAAATATGAATCAGGAAAAATTGCAAAACGTGTGACCTTCCAATGTCTAGCACAGAACTTGCTTAAGGCCTCAATTTTTTAATTGCATTGTTAAAACACTTCAAATTTGTATATTTATTACACCAGTGAATAGAAATAATTCTTATGGCATTTACTTTTTATTTTAAGCCTTAAAGATAGATGACTTTTATGCCCATCAACATGGAAAAATCCTCTGGTTGTTAAGGAATTTTCTTTGGCCGGGTTTCCATGGTAACCATGACTCAAAACTTTTTTCATTTAACATATACCGTATGTTAATTGAGTAATATTTCCATTTCTAATTTTTTCTCTGTGATAACTCTTTGAAAGTTAGGGGTAGTTTATTTCTAGATAATTCTGCCGGAATGTAAATTAGGCAGGTCGATAGGTCGGGAGCTAAGGAGGTCTAATACGCATGCAATTCTCTTGCGCATCTGTCTCTGTGTCTGACGCTAAGGTGGCCAAATATGCATGTAAATCTCGTGCGGCTGCCTTTGTGTTTGACGTCGGTTGGCGAGGACTATTGAAATTGGCATGGAAGTCATCATGTGATTTAAATCTATTTATCTACATTTTTAAAGTCTAAATCTACAATTTTATTTCACAATGAAATGGAAATATAAGGAATCACTGTCTAGTTAGGAGGGTATGTCAGGGACATCAACAATAGTGGGAAACATGGGATAATTTAAGCATAACGGGCTTCGCCCGTTATGCAAATTATCCCATGTTTCCCACTACTGTTGATGCCCTGACAAACCCTCCTAACTAGACAGTGATTCCTTAAAGAAATCATCGAATTCTGAAAACCTTCATGTATCATCTTCATACAATTTTTTCTGATTTTCATGTGGACTGCAACTGGTCCTTAACATTTTACTCAACTTCTTGTTATAAACTGGATTTGTTTATTTGGCTGCAATGAGCAAGGAGTTGGAAGATAGAACATTAGCTTTGTAATGTTCAACCCTTTCATTGTAAAATTTATTCACAAAAAAAAAAAAAAACAATTTAATAAACATTCTTTAAAACACATTTATTCCATACTTATATTGGACACTGAGCACATTCTGTAGTGCTTCAAAATATGATAATCCTTTCTTTGGTAAATATCAATTGATATTTACTTTACGACTAAGGATTTCATAACCCTGATTTCCCTTTATACCTACACGATCGAACCAATGACAAGCAATCCTAAACATTCTGGTAATATCTAATTCTCCCCGGGGAACATCCAACGGAATTGGCTCTGGTTTACCTAAAATCAAAATTATTATTAATCAATATTTACATAAATTTATCGTAACGAAAGAATGTATGATAAAAAATAAACTAAAAGTAGATTATATATTGAATTTTAAGGTTCATCGTTACTCTAATAAGAGAGATAACTCTTAATGACAAAAGTGTTGGGGTTTTTTTTGGTCAAATTTTGCCCAGCAAACTATGATATATTGTTTGTATTTTACATGTACTTATAAAATACATTATTAAGGTTCAAGAAACATTTAAAATGAGTGAGCAGAGGGATTATGATCCTTCAAAAGCTTTTTATTTACCTATTCTGTATCTGAGGGTGTTGTTAGTTTGTGGCACGATATCCATGCATACATAGACGTCTTCACTAAAACAGAGATGACACAGTATTTAATGTGCTATTTTTGGATGTCACTGGTATTTTCTTTTACATTTACTTGTTGTCAGATGTAACTTCTTAATTGGTACACTAGGTAATGCTCTAATTTTATCAAATCTAATTACATATATATGTACTAGTAAATCAATAGTAAAGTATTATTTAAGATGCCATTCATTTATATACTTGTACATGTTGTACTAAAAATAAATTCAGTAATAAAAATTGTTTCTAATTTTAAAAAAAAATCCAATTTTTAAAGTATTATAGAATAACACAAAATTATTGTATATTGTTATAATATTGTTATATTATAAGGATTAAGAATTTACCATTCTCCAGCCATAACTCGTGTCATTAGGTACCTGGTACCAGATTTTTTCTGACAAGCGAATATTGAATCCAAGAACTCGATTGCGTTAGGTTCAGTTTGGAAACGGATATTTGTTTCATTTATGACTACATCAAATTTGAACCCTGACCCCTTGGTTTCCCATTCTCCTGCAAGATCTTTTGGCATGTTACAGCGAGAGATCATGTGCCCAGTGGTAGGAACAGCTGAAAACATAATGTTAAAAATAGATATTTTTTTTAAAAAATTGAATCAATTGCAAGGTGAACAAATTATACATTTTTATTCATTGTCTATATTTATTATCGTCTATATTACCCTATGTGTAAATATCAAAGCAAATAAGTCGAGAATTATCTGTTAGTTGATAATAATTGTATGTTTTGTAGTATTTTCACTCACTGCTTCTTAATACTAATCTGACTGGTGCACTGTAAATACTATTCAAACTTGAACATTCAGCAAAACGTGACATCACCCATCGCTTTTCTTCTCCTTTCTGGGATTTTGATGTCATCTGTTGTGCAGATTAATTATGTTTACAATGTAAATGCATGTGCATTATCATATGAACTGTTTTTCAGGTTAAAGGATGAGGTGACTCAACTGCTATCTTGGGCCACCTTTTCCACGACGAATTATATTTAATCTACAATGATTTTAGTAGTTTTCAAACATGAGTGAATAAATACGACTCCTTTTGAATAGTTTCAATAGTTCAGACACATTTTAATTATAAGGAATATTGTATTATGTTTGATTTTTAGACCCTATCACAACAAAATTCGACCAGGTTTGTGACAATATGTTCATTTATGAAAGGAGAATGGGCGGGTCTTAGTATGATAGAGGTATGCATGTCAGAGAATTCTACCTCATATGGCTATTGTTATTATTTCGCACATAGTCATTGTCCAATCCGATGACAGAACAACAAAACATGCTGGTTTACTACATTTGCATTTTACTAGTATCACAGCCACGTGGTTTAGGTCAATTTATCTGTTATCCTCTTCTACATTTCAAACTGTAATTTTAATGGTTAGCCAAGGCTGTTTATACTTTATAATACGCATGAATTCTCAGCTTTTACGGTTTTTAGGTCAAGAAATGCACATGAAACTTGTATTCACTGATACTCGGGAATATGTGTAGACCTAGCGAATTGCCCACCAAACACGTTTCAATACTTTAAACTATGTATACTCACCGTCAATAGAAACGCAACACCCTAATTTTAGGGTGAAAATTAAAAACAGGTTATAACTACGTACCAAAAAAGTTATGACATCGTTTACTTTGCCAAATCAGTTATTTTACGGTTGAATGAATTTCTTTCCATTACCGGAAGTTGCTTTTTTGCCCTCTTAACAGAATTAAAAGTTTTCCATTTTTAATAAAATTTTAACAATATTTTGGGTTTCCAAGGTTTTGAAACTGTTAATCATAAGTATTGTACTAAAAGGCCGGGGAAAAAATCCTTCTTTCTTTACCGGATGTGATGCCAATATTTCCTCAAAATGACTGATAGCAAGAAGGGGGGATGTTTTAAGAGTCATGTGTTACCTTCTAAAGTTTAATGATAATATTAAAAATAAATATCTTTAGGTATAAAGTAAATTTACAAAAAATTAATGCTCCATTTAAACATTAAATGTTATTTTTAGACCCTAAAAAGAAACAAATACCCGGTGAATCTTAAAAATCCCCCCTTCCGACCATTTAATGAAAACGTGTTAGTCCGCCATATACAACAAATGCAGCCCGATTTCTACCATGCATTAAGTTTATTAATGTCTTAATCTGAGCAAAATAAATATTCTTGGGCATTTTGAATACATGTTTTTCAGATATTGGGGTCGAATTTTCTCTAACCTGGCGTAGTGTAGCAACTTTTTGACTTCCGGTCAAGAAACTGTCATTTATGCTATTGAAACACATTAGCCTGATGAGTCGTTATATAGTGTACATTTGTATCTGCAGCTCTTTTTTTTCTTTATTTTGAGAATTTCCAGCTTTAGCAATGAAAATCAGTCATTTTGAGGAAATATAGGCATCACATCCGGTAAAGAAAGAAGGATTTTCTTCCTGGCCTTTTAGTACAATGCTTATGATTAACAGTTTTAAAACCTTGGAAACCCAAAATATTGTTAAAATTTTATTAAAAATCGAAAATTTTGAATTCTGTTAAGAGGGCTAAAAAGCAACTTCCGGTGATTGAAAGAAATTCATTCAACCGTAAAATAACTGATTTGGCATAGTAAAAGATGTCCTAACTTTTTTGGAACATAGTTATAACCTGTATATAATTATCACCCTAAAATTAGGGTGTTGCGTTTCTATTGACGGTGAGTATATATTTATCAATTGTTTGTAACTGTGATCTCTGAAATTGTATATACAATGTATGTAGATCCGTGTCTAATCTGTGACTGAAATGCGTAAAAAAAATTTTGGAAAACGGGTAAAATAAAGTATGTTTCCTTATAGTATTTTTGTGGTACTCATGCACTCGTAAAAATTACATTTAGCTGATTGGTCAGTTAGAAAGTATAGCCAGTGCCTCAATCAGCATATGGATCTATGCTTACGGCAAAAATCTAGTTTCGTCGATCTGCTCATAATGGGAAAGGCCAGCTAGATTTTACAATTATTTTAAAAGTAGTATGTGAGCGCAGTTAGGCACAATTTTCTCCTTCCACATAAAGGTAGATTTTATTTAAATACAGTGCCCCGCCAAAGGAGAAAATTGTACCTACCTGCGCTTGTATATTTTAAGGGCTTCAAAGAGTGGGGTGAGGTCCAAATTCAGTTGGAATTGGATGTAAACACGATACCTTTATCCAAATGAAAGATCTAGATATCTTTCAAATAACACATCTATTTTTGATAAAAGTAGTATTCCGTTAGGGTACACATACATGTATCTGTGATTAGTTGCATCCAAAAACTAGAATAAAATTTCGACATTCAATTTTTTGTCAATTTACCGCGGGGGCCGCAAGTCATCTCATCCTTTATCACGGGTGTGACATTGATGCGTGTCAGCCCTACATCCATATCAGGGCTGATACGGGAGAGAGAGAGACATAGAGAGAAAGAGATAGACTGAGAAGGAGAGACACAAAGACAGACAGAGAAAGAGACAGAGAATCTCTATAAAAATCACCAAACACTGGTATCGAACTCTGGGTTCCGTCTCCAGAATGTCTACAACGGCAGCAAACGTGAATACCATACCATGCTGTTCGGCATCCCATGTTCCCATACACTGGTATCTCAAATCTGTAACATTGTAAACAGTTACTTCACTAAATGCATTATTTCATTGCCAAATCTTCGTACATACTTTTTATATCATCAAATATAATGATGCTTGATATTATCAGATTCTTGATTTTCTCTGAATGAAACATATTTGGAGTTAACGAACAGTATTAAAGATAAAAAGTCCATAAAACAATACAAAAGAGGAGCAGAGCAATCAAGGACCCCCAAATAATCAGAGGTGGAAGCAGATGCCATGGAGGAGTGTGGAGAAATAGTGCTTTTACTGTCTGACTTTGTTTCCTTACTTTTATCTTTTGATGCGAGTACATTGGGACAGCTGGCATACGTCATTGAGAAGACTTCGTTGTCTACGTATCGGGATCCTGGATCTTGACAAGCTTTGATTTGATTATCGGGGTTGTCACAGATACCTCCGCCTCCTTGATCCATCTCATATGTAAACTGGTACAATCCTTTAAACATAGTTTGGCAGTTAACTGGTCGTGGAATTTGTCCTGCAATAATCAAAACACAATTTACAATGCAATCTAATGAAAGTTAATACTGTAAATCACTTTTTATTCGCGAGAACTTTATTTTCGCGTTATTACGGGAGACGGTATGCTCGCGAAAATTTAATTCTCGCGTATAGTATTTCTTAGGATATTAAAGAGCAAGGACCACAATTCGTGAAAATTTGTCTCGCTTTTCAAGAGTCAATGACCATCTAGCGAAAAAAAGGTGTCGCGAAAATTAAGTAATCTACAGTAATACGCTCATCATGTTACCATTCGTTATTTCTAATACTCTCTCTAAAAAGTTATAATCGAAATGACTATTTGGATTTAAATAATAGCTTTAAGATTACCATCCACTGCAATTATATTTATCATAATATATTATATTATTATATGATGTTATATTATGTTAATTATATCATATTGTATATCATAATATATTATGTAATACACATTAACATTTATATTTTTCAAAGGATACAATGAACCCTTCATATGAATACTTTAGATGTGTGTCCTTTTATGATGATCAGTTTAAATATATTACTAGACAAAAACGTAATAAAAGTTCTACGGTAAACATTATATACTCACTAAACATAGTGACGGTGTCTGCAGTGAGTGGAAGGCCATACAAGGGATTCATAGCTTTACAGGAGATGTTCAGAGAAATACCATACCCTACATAAGCAGGTATACAATCACCTGAAAAATATTTTTTATAATTAATAATTTCTCAGTTATGGTGTTTGATGTATCTACGGTAGTTGACCATGATTTACATGTAGTTCCAAAATGGCCACCGACGTTAAATGTTTGGTAAGCCTATTGTTATGAAAAAAATAAATAGCATGCAAACAATGACACGCACTTACCTTAAATTACTAGTATTTTGTTATGAATCCTTTTTCATTGATAACAGCTCTGATTCTCTTTGGAATACTTTAATATAATGTAAGAAGTGATGCCCAGATTTCAGTCACTACTCTCTCAATATCTGACTTGTTGTTAATTTCAAGGATGCGGAGTTTGATGCGGATTTTCAAAACTTCATACATTAATTTTCAATTATGTTCATATCTGGGCATTACATTATCTTAATACGTGGCAAGAAGCATTTATCTATTTGAAAAGTCAAAGGATGGTTTCCAAACTTTTTGCTACAACTATCTATCTAAATTTCAATGAATATTGGAATTCATGTTTCCATTAATAAGTATAATTGTTCCGACACCATTAATAACAGGTGATACAACCCCAGATCATAACAGTAATTTTGTGAATTGTGGCTATTTTGGGAACTAAATTATGACCATCTACAATATCTATAAAGCTTTGATTTTGCATGTATTTTTTCTGTCAATTCATGATTTCTTTTCAATACTTAAAACATTCACTCACTTTTTGGTAGGATTTTTAAAATATTTGTTCGTGTTTTTTTTATCTATTTCAATTTGTTTGTTTGTTTAATGTCAGGAGCTCGACATTCTAAAATTAAAATGCAACTTTTTTAAAGAAAATATCAGTCACTGTGAATGTTTAGAGTAAGTCTTTTTTGATCAGCAATCCAAAAAAAAAAAATCACTGTATCTTTTTTAAATCTAATCAACTGATTTATCTTATTTTACACCAATCTTTACCTTTCCGGTATTGCAAAATGTTGCTTGTTCTCCATAAAACATCTACACAAAAATAACAGCTTCCCGAACCGCCACTATTAAGGAAATAAAAAAGGGAATCAGCTTTTCTTTAAAGAAAAGTACATGATCATGACCTTTATTTTACATGGCATCCATTTTTATGAACAAATGGGGAAAATGCCGAAGGTCAAAATATCAAAAAATAAGTTTAGAATATTTTTTTTTTCAAGTATGTCCTGCTTAAATTGAACATATTAATATGAAACGAGGTTTCATATATGTCACAATGTGTATCTACATCTATTACATGCATAACGTATTTTGTTTTCCTATCTAAGAAAAATTACTTTTGAAGAAAAGCAAGAAATACATTTAATTAAAAAAACTACTTTAACAAGGCTATACGTACATTTCCATGTTTTGGGGTTTTTTTTATGTTTCTATTTTTACATACATTAATGTTCAAGTTTATGTCACTTGTATAAATTTTTCAAACTTTTCCTCATGAAATAATATAAAAGGTAAAGATGGCGAACAGTGATCGATCTAAAAATAAAATCAACAAACATTACAAACATGAGAAGAGGGCAAAAAACATTACCTCTTGAATCAGGGGTTGAATCAGGTGCCTGGGAGAATTAAGCATCCCTTACCTGCTGACCATAAACATCGTGACATTGTTGCCAGCCTGCTGAAGCCCTGGGTTGGGGTGGATGAACAAATCCTCACAATTTAACTCTGTTTCGTCCTCATTGCTGTCCCATTTATCGGCAGTTATCTTTGTTATGACGTCATCTCCCCATCTCCCCCGACTGTACCACTCTCCATGGAAATAGTCAGGTATAGAACATTTACCTGATACCCTTACTGTTTTTGAAATAAAAATAAATTCTTTACAGGAGTAGTTAATTTGACATCTGTGATTACTCAGTTACGTATTATTATTAACGGAATAAAATATTACTTTTATAGATTTGCGTTTGGCATGCTTTAGCTTGCTTAATTAGTCCATCCGTCATTGTTTTATTTCCCGTTTCAAATTGCTTCTGAATTCATGAATTCATACTGGGCATTACAGTTATTTACAGATAATACAAACCAAAAAATGATAATCTAGATCGAGAAAAAGAAAAATAATAACACAAATAGTAAATTTCACAAATATACTTGTAGTTTGTTAATTTTCAAAGATGTTCAAAATTTTACCTTTCTGCAAGCCTCCTTTTTGATAATTTTTTAAAACATTTTTAGTGAAGTTTTTTTCTCTTAAAATTGTAATATTAATCAAATTTTATGTTCACGTCATAAGAATATAATGATTTCAAACTGGAAAATAAACAAACAGACAAAATATTTATCTGCTGTTTAGATCTGCTGAGGAAACAAGATTGTACAATTTTAAAATGAAATGGTGCTAATGTAAATATAAGTATGGAATATAATTTTGTAAAATGATATATAAAATTTATGTTCATTATGATATAAATTTTTAAATTGATTAAAAGAAAATTAATAGATTAATAGAAAAATACGTATGCGACGAAAAACTGTACTCTAATGTAATGACAGAAGACCCAATTATCCCCCATTTTCGAATTTATAAAATGAAAATTGGTTTCAATTAAGGACATAATACGATTATTGTTAAATGCTATTGATAGTGCATCCCTTGTATTTCAACAAATAAATACCGTGCTGTAAAGTTATCATTCAAACTGCCCTTTAAGGTCAAGATCTAGTAAATGGAAGGTACTTACAGATTTTTCAAAATTAAAAAATTAATTCCTTTAATGATGCTTTATAACATTAGCTTGGTCAAAAAAGGTGTTTCAGAGCATATTTTGTAGAAAAGGAAGATGAAAAACCATATTTTAAACTGTCAGTTTCAATGAAAAATTAAGAAAACCAGCATTGAAAATGGGAGTTTTTACCATATCAGACAAAGAAAATGTATCCAGATTGCCTACAGTTTTTCAGAAAACGGTTATTTGTATGTTCTTAGTCTCTACTTTAAAATAATGTTAAATTTAAGATAGGTATCGGGACTACTTTTTATGTGATTTCAAATTGAATTCCATGAAAATACTTTATTTTCTACATAATTCTATTAGAGCCGTAAAGTACGGGAAAAAGATAGTTGAAAGTGATTATGACGTCATAATGGATTTAGCACTGAAAAGTTATTCTAAAGTCATTTACTAGATCTTGACCTTAATTAAAGTTCAAATCAAAAAATGTGGGTCAATACGCTTCTTTTGGCGCTACAGTACATTTAATATGACGTTTTCGCACTGAAATTTGTGTCTTAATTAAAAATTAAATTTTTGTTTTCACTCCAATATTTTTATCCATTTAGAGCATGAAACAAAATGAACTCTAAGTTTGTTTAAAAAAAGACACTTAAAAATTGTGACTAAGAAAAAGTTTCAAATTGCTTCGCATAATTAACTACCGGTATTTGACTTTCTGCACTAATAAAAAGTTTTTTTCTGGCATTGAAAATTTAATAAGCAAGGAAATTATTTTAAAGTCTTAAACTTTTTCTGATTTTAAGCAAATAGGTCAAATATATCTTGAATATTTAGAAAAGAACATCAAAAGTGGGGGTATATGATGTAAATTTTCAGATATTACTAAAAAAGTGTCAATTTTACGTTAGAATTAGCTCAATTTTTTAATGGGTTTTTCAGAATATATTTACTATATTTGTCACACTTTGTTGATAGAATTCATAAGAAATAATTCAATATATTTTAGAACCAGAATAACACATTTCACTGCAAAAAACAGATTTGTGTGCAACCAGGATGGAAAAATAGGAATCTAAAATTAATAGCACTGTTATAGTTCAAAATGGAAAAACTGATCATTTTCGTCTAAAAAACCTTCCGCTACAAAATATAGTCCCTAGCTTAATTCTACTTGAATAGAATTTAATCGCGGTTTTTTCATTGAATATAGCTAAATTTGCAATGTAGAATTTAGATTAAATGTTAGAACTTAAAAATGATACAGAATTTTATAAATAAAGGACCTGACCAAAATACGCTCAAAATCTCAGGATCGAACGTCCTTAAGACTATTATTTTAAAATCATGTTCTTTTTATAATGTGATCTTTTTTTCGTAACCTCATAATCCCAGAAGTGAAAATACTTAAGGTTATTTACAAAAAATGTCCCTGATCAATAAAAATTACTGTTTAGTACCACCCTTGTCTCAGCACTTATATATAGCAGTGGTAAACATTTCAAGGCACCAATGACTTCTCAAGATTTTTAAAAGACAATGTAAATTGCTCAACATGCAGATGTGTTTGTTTAAAATAAAAATATAACTTACCTGTCACATGTAGAATTGAGAGTAAACATATTACGTATTGCAAGGCAACCATTCCTAAGCTTCTTTTGTGCAAGAGTTCTGTGAAAAAGCAGATGGAATGAAGTTATATGTAGAAAATATCGCTTGCCCAGTCGTTGTACAAAGTTCATGTGATCGTTCCATCGTAGTTTCTGATGATAAAATGAGCTAAAAGTTAATTCATTGTAATAGCCTTCACTTATATCAAAATAACGCCAATTTTATACTGAATGTTACAATAAATCTCTAAATATTTACTAAATGTCAAGAGGTCTTTTAAGGTATCGGTAAAAAGAGCCATAGCGCATTTGATAGTCACTTTCGCCTACTCTAGTAGTGATTTTTTAAATACATTGTTTAACCAAAATTTTGTCATACAATGTTAGTTTATACATGCCTTAAAGCAAATCACACAAAAATAATATTCAAATATTAATAGTTCCTTCATATGATAGATATAAAAATCGTCCAGTTTATATGGAGAATATAGTAAATACTGAGGTACCCCCCTAAACAATGAGAAACTGTAGCTAAAGACCAGCCTTAACCAGAGAAACAACTTTTGAAAAAAATTATTTGGATATGACTGCACTTCATTACATTTAGATAATTTTGGTTAAAGGTGGTCTTCATATTGAAAATGTTGAAAATATGAATTTAATTTTTCTTCTAAAATTATTTCAAGATTCAACAATCTATTTTAATTTTATCCACTAAACTAACATGACTTCGTGGCATAGTGGTATGATTGCTGGACTGAAGACATAATGATCGTGAGTTCGAATCTCACATGCAGTGCGTGTTTCTTTTTAACGATTTTATTATTTTTTTCTCTGTGCATTTTTTCTGTTTTCTTTTATTTTTTTTTTTTATAATACATGTATAAATAATATAAGAGATATATAATACAACATTACATCTTGAAAGTATCTCGGGAAAAACAGTCTTAAACTATTTTAATGACCCCAAGTCATAGCTGCTAGCTTGTTTTATTTTTAAAATTTTCTATCAATTTAGAATAAGAGTACTTAAACAAGTAAAATTATTGTCACGTAACAAACTTGCAACTATGAAAATATAACACTGTTCCACAAATGATTACAAACATGTTTGATTTTGAAAAGGTGCCTGTTTCTATAAATAGAAACAGGTGATTTCCATTTAAATACTTGAGTAGGCCGATTCGTCGGTAAGGCAGCTATGGCTCTTTACGTGAAATCAATAAAGTATATGAATATATCGATCAGTATTTGAACAATATTCAAAAAATACAAATCAGGAACAAGGCAAGTATGGATATTTGAAACATCAGAGGTGATATCAGGTCCCATGAAGGAGTAAGCATCCCTGCTAACTGGCCACAACCGCTTTGTGTTCCTTGTCATGATCGAGAAAAACGGAAACATAATAATGCAGTGTGTAATCAATTGACTGACAATTAGTTTGAAATCTAAAACGATCGACAGCATTTGACAAAATTCTGGGGGGGGGGGGGGCAAGGTCAATTTTTGACTGCATGAAATATATACATATAAAGATACGTTTTCAAGCTCAAAAGTCCATTCAAACAATACAAATCAGGGATCAGGAGGAAATACACACACACAAAAGATCAGAGATGGAATCAGGTGCCATGGAGGGGTGAGCACCTCTTGCCGACCAGTCACATCTGTTCATGTTTCTTAATTATGCCTACTTCATTCAATTTGTGATCAATCTTAAAATAGATATTATAACAGTATGTACAAAACAAATTAACAAATAACAATGAAAATTTTATGTGAATGAGTTTTTTGGGGGACTAAATTTTGCATAAAATTGTTTCAACATTTCGATAAGGTTTTCAAATTTTCAAAATAACTATTCCAATTAGGCCACGGTTTGGCCTTTAACTTATCTATATCAAAATAACGTATGACTCGGCTCAAAAAAGGTGGATTACAATTTTTACCCACCTCTACCCCCTCAGTTTTCCATAGTATTTTCTTATTATTGAAGAAATTACATGTGCTGGTATAAATTTGCATTAGATGTGTGATTTTTTTTTTTGGCTCACCTTCTGTTGCATTCTGAAATTGTAAAAATTTGTTATTTCATTTGGCATTTTGTAATAAATGCTCTATAGACACACATCCTCTTCATTATTTGACTTACTAGTAATTGCTGCAGAACAGAGCTGCAAGATTGTGCTTCAGGTACATTTGAACTACACTGTAATTTATCAGTTTCAGTATTTAATTAAGATAATATTTATTAATAATGAAGATCATAAAACAAAACTAGCATTATTTAATTAGGCTTCATTTCTTTTCTCTTTTCATGTTTAAATTGCTAAAAATAAATGTTTTCTACTTAAGATTTAACAATTTACTCAACTTCTTGTGACAAACTGGATTCGTTTATTTCCTCCCGTATAAGTTGGCTTCTATGAGCAGGGAGTTGGGAGACAGAACGTTAGATTTGTTATATTCCACCCTTTTCGTTGTAAAAACTTTTTCATAAAAAGAAAAAAACAATTCAATGAACATGCTTTAAAACAAATTTATTCCATACTTCGACTGGGCACTGGCCGCATTCAATATAATAGTCCTTTCTTTGGTAAATATCAATTGATATTTACTTTACGACTAAGGATTTCATAACCCTGATTTCCCTCGATATCGACACGATCGAACCAATGACAAGCAATCCTAAACATTCCGGTAATATCTAATCCTCCCTGGGGGATATACATCGGAATTGGCTCTGGTTTACCTAAAATCAGAATTATTATTAATGAAGATTTACATACTTTTACCGTAATGATGATAAAAATGTAGATTATATTTTAAATCTCAACAATGGGCAAAAATACACTTCAACTTGGCAAATTTATAAAGGAACGATAGACATATATGTCATTAAAAGTTATCTCTCTTATCAGAATATCAATATACCTTAAAAAGCGTATTGTTTACCTAGTCTGTATCTAACTGTGTTGTTAGTTTGTGGCAAAATATCCATGCATACAAAGACTTCTTTACTAAAACATAAGATGATACAGTATTTTTAATATGTTCTATTTTAGATGTCACTGGTATTTTTTTCTTTTATATTTATTTGTTGACTTATCAGATGTGTGTGTAACTATTTTTCACTGGTATACTTGGTAATTTCTATCAAATCTAATTTATAGTAATTCAATAGTAAAGTATTATTTCAGATTCCAATTCATTTATATACTTGTACATGCAGTTAAGGAATGAATTCAGTATAATTTGTTTTTAATTTAAAACTGTAAATTTTTAAAGTATTATAGAATAAAACAAACGGTTTTAAACATAAATTATAATATAGTGTATTTATAGTCCCTATAAAATCTATACAAGCACGAACAGTTCATAACACTACATATTAATCGGATTTGAGGCAGTATTCACCGGCAGATCAGTGCGCGTGCAGCAGCATTGTGACGTCACAATCAACACCTCAAACAAATGATTAATTACCGCAGCCCGCTTTGTATAATTAGTAAATTTGTTAGATTTTATCGTGGGATTTTTTTAAAAAAACGTCTTACACATATCGAAACTAGGAAAGGAAAACACCGAGGTTACAAACTGTAATCTGGACTTTTCATTTTCATTGATGAGAGTTCGGAAATGTAAATGGTGTCGTCATGCAGCCTTCAATGTCTTATTTTTTCTATCCGGATTATATAATAAAACAATTATGGACTGTTTTAAAAACAATTATGGACTGTTTTGGCGTTGAAAATAATTTGTTATTCCCCAGAAAAATATCAAATTGACCGAGGCGAAGCGAATATTGATTTTTTTCTGGTAAACAACAAATCATATTCAACACCAAAACAGTCCATATAATTGTGAAGTATATTGTTGTAATATTATTATATTATAAGAATTAAGAATTTACCATTCTCCAGCCATAACTCGTGTCATTAGGTACCTGGTACCTGATTTTTCCTGACATGCGAATATAGAATCCACGAAATCAATTGCATTTGGTTCAGTTTGGAAACGGATATTTGTTTCATTTATGATTACATCAAATCTGAATCCTGACCCCGTGGTTTCCCATTTTCCTGCAATATCGCTTGGCAGGTTACAGCGAGAGACCGTGTTCTCAGCTGAAGGAGCAACTAAAACATAATTTTAGAATATATATATATATATATATATATATATATATATATATATATATATATATATATATATATATATATATATATATATATATATATATATATTATATATATATATATATATATTTCAAATTGAATAAAGGTTAACAAATCATATATTTTTAGTAAGTCTTGTCACTATGTTAACATATTTTGTAAATATCATTGCAAATAAATCGAGGATTATTTATTAGTTTAATAATAACATTATGTTTTATAATAGATTAACTCACTGCTTTTCAGCACTAATTTGACTGGTCCACTGTAAATACTATTCAAAAGTGAACAATCAGCAAAACGGGACATCACCCATCGTTTCTTGTCTCCTCTTTGAGATTTTAATGTCATCTGTAATCAAAATTGTGCATATTATGTTTACAATGTACAACTATGTGTATTATCACAAGAAGTATATTTTGAGGTTTAATTTACATGATTTACTAGGGGTGTGATATGGATCCGCGTCAGCCCCGCAGATCCCTATAAACCCTGTAGGGCTAATATAGGACGTTTGAGATGTCAGACATTACCAAACACTGGAATCTATCTCTGGGGTTCGTCTCTACAGGGTCTGCAATGGCAGCAAACGTGTAAACCACACCATACTGTTCAGCATCCCATGTGCCCAGACACTGGTATCTCAAGTCTATAACATCGCAAACAGTTATTAAACATAAGTCCATTCTTTAATGCCAAATCTCCGTAGAAACGTCTTATTCTGTCAAACATATAGTAGTTGCTATTAACAGATACTTTACTTTCTCTGAGAAAAACATCAAGTGAGTTCAAGGTCAAAAGCTCAAGGTTCTCTATTTGAGGATACTTGCACAACCTCTTGAAGTGGATTTAACTGTTTTTGCCGATATCAGGCTGAAATGATTTTATTTGCGTATGTCACAGATCCATTTGAATATTGTATATTTCATCACGGGGAGAAGTCCTTTTAATTGGCTTTAATTGTAAACAGATTTTATTGATTTTAATAAACAATTAGTAAAACTAAGCATTTATATTTTTTAAAAAGGAAATCGTATCATAATGAGTAAATTGCTTTTGTGTAGGAGTGATTTAAATACACATGTTTTTCTAGTCAAAAGCAGGATACATGATTCTTTTTTTTTCGAATTTAGCTAAATTATGCGTATTAAAGCACAATTTATTTTTTGATACATGCATGCTATTTTTCCTGTAAATATGACTAATATTGTACAAAAGCCAAGATATGTTATAATTTTTTTTACCATCAATATTAATTTGGTTGAAGCAAAATTTCCGTGATTTTATGAAATATTAAAAGATTGTAAATCACAAAAATGTCTCTCAAACTATTTCTTTAAATGCATTATGTTTTGTTTGGCTCTTAATTCGTACATTTAGATACAAAACCTTTTTCCTTATACAACCAAATACATTCAAACCATACCACAGATTATGTATTTGAAATTACCAATGAATTGCAAACACGGACCTCCAAAACCTCAGAGGTGGAATCAAGTTCAACGGAGGAGTATGGAGATATATTGCTATTTCTAATAATAAAATTTTTTTTTGAAAAAAAAGTAACATTAATCTTTTTTGTCTGACTTTGTTTCCTTACTTTTATCTCTTGACGTGAGTACATTTGGACAGCTGGCATACGTCATTGAGAAGACTTCGTTGTCTACGTATCGGGATCCTGGATTTTGACAAGCTTTGATTTGATTGTCAGGGTTGTCACATATGCCTCCGTCTCCTTGTTCAACCTCATAAGAAAACTGGTACAATCCTTTGAACATAGATTCGCAGTTAACTCGTTGTGGAATTTGTCCTGCAATAATCCAATTTACAGTGTAATCTAATGGAAATTTTTTTTAATGCATTTATCATGTTTTCTAAGTTATCATTCATTATTTCTTATACTCTTTTTAAAAATTTATAGTCGAAATAACTTTTTGGATTTGAATAATAGATTTTAAAATCATTTACTTAGTGCAATTAAATTTGACACATCATATATTTGGGAAAAATCTTCTTCTGAGAGAGAGATTTCTTCACGTTTCGCAGCGGATATTTTCCGGATTTTTTAAATGTACACATGGTTCAAACAATCTTCACTAAATGAAATAAATACACTTAATATCATTTGATAAACGAACAGCCTGCATTTAAGGTAATCCGATCCTCAGGTTTATAAAATTAGCTGTTAAGAAATCAAAAATACTCATAAAAGTATCTCTGAATCCACAAAATTATGTAAATTTATCCACAGTATTTCTTAAAAGTTGAAGATTAAAGTTAATCATATTATATAGGGAAAATTGTCAAATATTTTTGCCGAAAAAGCGAATCGGAATATCAGCTATGCATTTTCTAACTGCAAATTGATCAACAAATGTATTTTAGCTTAAAAACGATAGGTATCCAGGCATTAAGAGAAATAGTCTTGATTTTTATACTTATTTGGTATTTTTTTTGTTTTCTTTTTCCGTCATATAATATATAATACTTAGTGTAAAAGTCTTTTGCTATCATTGCAAGATACCACAAATCACTTCTTATTCAATATCATGCTAATAAGCATGGGTATCTAAGTCTGGGTTCAAGAAAATCTTGTTTCTCTAAAACTGTATTAATTTTCTTCCTTTTATAGGGTACAGACCGTATAAAGCGAAGCCCCGTGCCGCAGTAGGTGCTGGCAAGAAAAAGATCCCTCACTGCTCAAAGGCCATGAGTGCCGAGCATAGGACAAAATTTGTAGCCCTCCACCGGCAATTGGTGGCGTCTCCGTATGAGTGAAAAATTCTCGAGAGGGACGTTTAACAATATACAATCAATCAATCATACATTTATAGGGTACAAATTTCAACTTTTATAATACCTTTTCTAAGACTTCCAAAAACCTTGAATCTTAAAAAGATGAATAAAATGAAAATTGTTGCATGAAAAAAATTCATTTTCAAGCTTCATTTTGATGCATTTCAAGTTAAATATTAAATTTTGGAGTTATCTTTCCTGGCTGAGGATTGGATATCCTTAAATGAGAAAAAAGAAAACCGTTTCTATATATTTTCCGTTTTCTCCAACTTTGTGAAATCCAAACATGTTTTTTTTTTATTTTTATTTATAAATTCTCAAATGATAAAATATACTTACGTATGATTACTTTAACGAGGTTGGATCCTGATATTTAAAGTCTTAAACTTATTTTGCCAAGTATATTTTTAGTTTCTACATACATAGCTTACTTAAATTTCAAGTCACAAAATGGGTGTCAATATGCTTCTTTTGGCCACACAGTTCATTTGATATGACCTTTTTTCACTGAAATTACATTTTCCCTTCATTTCTTTTATCCAATTAAAGCATGAAACAAAATGAACTCTAATACGATTTTTAAAAAAAGATACTTTAAAATTGTTACAAAGAAAAAGTTTCAAATTTGTCTGCATAATCAATTATTTGACCTTTCTGCGCTAATAAAATGTGATTTTTTTGGCATTGAAAATTTAATAAGCAAGAAAATTATTTTAAAGTCCTAAACTTTTTCTGCGTTTTAGCAAATAGGTCAAAGTTATCTAAATATTTAGAAAAGAACATCATAAGTGGCTGTATATGCTGTAAATTTTCAGATATTACTAAAAAAAGTGTCAATTTTAAGTGAAAATTTGATCAATTTTTCCCCGGACTTTCAGAATATTTTTACTATATTTGTCACACTTCGTTGAAAGAATTCATAAGAAATAATTTAATAGATATTACAGAGCCAGTATAACACATTTCACTGCAAAAAAAAAAACACAAGAGGCCCATGGGCCACATTGCTCACCTGAGCACTGTGGCTAGGAAAAAGTAGAAATTGGTTTATAACATTCAAAATTTTGGTCGGCCATTTTGCGCCGCCCTACCCCCCGGGGTCATGATTTGAATAAACTTGAATCTACACTATCTGAGAATGCTTCCATGTAAATATGATCAATTATGGCTTTGTTATTCTTGGGAAGAAGATTTTTAAAGAATTTTACTATATATTTCTATGTAAAACTTTGGTCGGCCATTGTGGCCCCGCCCTACCCCCGGGGGTCATGATTTGAACAAACTTGAATATACACTACCTGAGGATGCTTCCATATAAATATGATCAATAATGGCTTTGTTATTCTTGAGTGGAAGATTTTTTAAAGAATTTTACCATATATTTCTATGTAAAACTTTGGTTGGCCATTTTGGCTCCGCCCTACCCCCCGGGGTCATGATTTGAACAAACTTGAATCTACACTTACTTAGGATGCTACCATATAAATATGATCAATTATGGCTTTGTTATTCTTGGGAAGAAGATTTTTAAAGAATTTTCTTATATATTTCTATATAAAACTTTGGTCGGCCATTTTGACTCCGCCCTACCCTGGGGGGTCATAATTTGAACAAACTTGAATCTACACTACCTGAGGATGTTTCCCCATAAGTTTCATCTTTCCTGGCACAGTGGTTCTTGAGAAGAAGATTTTTAAAACAAGCCACCAAATTTTCATTAATTCCCAATTATCTCCCCTTGAATGAGGGCGTGGCCCTTCAATTGAACAAACTTGAATCCCCTTCTCCCAAGGATGCTTTGTGGTTGAAATTGGCCCAGCGGTTCTTGAGAAGAAGTCGAAAATGTGAAAAGTTTACAGACAGTCAGACAGACAGACGGACAGCTAGACAGACCGACGCCGGACAAAATATGATCAGAAAAGCTCACTTGAGCCTTCGGCTCAGGTGAGCTAAAAACAGCTTTTTGTGCAACCAGCGTGGAAAAATAGGAATCTAAAATTTATGGTACCGTGATAGTTATAAAGGGATAACAATGATCATTTTCTTTTTAAGAAAACCTTCCGCCACAAAATATATCTCCTAGCTTAATCCTTCTTGAATGGAATTTAATTGTATTTCTTTATTGAATATAGTTTCATTTGCATTGCAGAATTCAGATCAAATGTTAGAACTTTAATAAAGGACAGGACCAAAATCCGCTCAAAAGCTCAGGATCGAACGTCCTTAAGGAGGTACTGATGTCCTTTTATGATGATCAGTAGATATATTGCTAGACAAAATCGAAACCAAATTTTTAAGGTAAACATTATATACTCACTAAACATAGTGACGGTGTCTACAGTGAGTGGAAGGCCATACAAGGGATTCATAGCTTTACAGGAGATATTCAGAGAAATACCATACCCTACATCAGCAGGTATACAATCACCTGAAAAATATTCATTATAATTAATATATCAGTTATGTTGTTTGATATATCTATGGTAGTTGAGAATAATTTAGTTTCAAAATGGCCGCCGACGATAAATGTTGGGCCAGCCTGTTGTAATAAAAAAAAATACGACTAAATAAGGGCCAACGACAGTATCTGTGTTGCTTTGATTTTACATGCATTGTTTTTTTTTTGTCATATCATGGTTTTTTTGTCATTTCTGAAACATGCTGATTTATTTATTTTGTAGAATTTTTTTTATGTTTGTTTGTTCCCGTTCAAGCACTCATTCATTTATTTGCTGTCAGGAAATTTTAAAATAAAAAATCGACTATTTTCAGAAAAGATCAGTCCCCGTACAGTGAATGTATAGAGTAAGTCTTTTCTGATCAGCAATAAAAAAAAAATTACAAGAGGCCCATGGGCCACATCGCTCACCTGAGAAGCTTTGACCATTCTGTTCTTTACCAGATTTCACCCTTGTTATACATAATGCAAAACCCTACCCCACTGATCATAATTTAGACATTTTGAAATCTAACAGCTTCCCCATGATCCTTCCATGGGCACATGTTAAGAAAATTTTGGCCCAGTGGTTCCTGAATCAAGATTTTCAAAGATTTTTCCTATATATTTCTATGTAAAACTTTTATTCCCAAAATGGCCCCGCCCTTCCTCCGGGGGTCATGATTCCTACAATTTAGAATTTACACTACCCCAGAATGCATCCACATAAGCTTCACTTTTTCTGGCCCAGTGGTTCTTGAGAAGAAAATTTTCAAAGAATTTTCCTATATATTTCTATATAAAACTTTGATTCCCCATTGTGGCCCCGCCCTACCCCCAGGTGTCATTATTTGAACAATTTAGAATATACATTATACCAGGATGCTTCCACATAAGTTTGCTTTTCTGGCCCAGTGGTTCTTGAGAAGAAGATTTTCAAAGATTTTTCCTATATATTTCTATATAAAACTTTGATTCCCCATTATGGCCCCACCCATCCCAATGGTTTCATTTTTAACAATTTTCTACATTATATAAGGATGCTTCCACATAAGTTTCAGTCACTGGCCCAGTGGTTCTTTCAAGAAGATTTTCAAAGATTTTTCCTATATATTTCTATGTAAAACTTTGATTCCCCATTGTGGCCCTGCCCTTCCCCCGGGGGTCATGATTGGGACAATTTAGAATCTACATTATATCAGGATGCTTCCATATAAGTTTCAGCTTTTCTGGCCCAGTTCTTGAGAAGAAGATTTTCAAAGATTTTTCCTATATATTTCTATGTAAAATTTTGATTCCCCATTGTGGCCCCGCCCTTCCCCCGGGGGTCATGATTTAAACAATTTAGAATCTACATTATACCAGGATGCTTCCACATAAGTTTCAGCTTTTCTGGCCCAGTGGTTCTTGAGAAGAAGATTTTCAAAGATTTTTCCTATATATTTCTATATAAAATTTTGATTCCCCATTGTGGCCCCGCCCTTCCCCCTGGGGTCATTATTTGAACAATTTAGAATCAACATTATACCAGGATGCTTCCACATAAGTTTCAGATTTTCTGGCCCAGTGGTTCTTGAGAAGAAGATTTTCAAAGATTTTTTATATATTTTATGTAAAACTTTGCCCCATTGTGGCATGCTTTCCCTTGGGGGTCATGATTTGAACAATTTTTTTTTTGTTTTGTATTATTTTTTTTACACTATACCAGGATGCTTCCATATAAGTTTAGCTTTTCTGGCCCAGTGGTTCTTGAAAAAAGATTTTCAAAGATTTTTCCTATATATTTTATGTAAAACTTTGATTCCCCATTGTGGCCCCGCAATAATGCAAATAGGGTCATGATTTGAACAATTTAGAATCTACATTATACCAGGATGCTTCCATATAAGTTTCAGCTTTACTGGCCCAGTGGTTCTTGAGAAGAGGATTTTTTAAAGACCCCACCCTATTTTTGTCTTTTCTTGATTATCTCCCCTTGCGAGGGGATATGTCCCTTCATTTTAACAATTTAAATTCCCCTTTACCCAAGGATGCTTTGTACCAAGTTTGGTCAATATTGGCCCAGTGGTTCTTGAGAAGAAGTCGAAAATGTGAAAAGTTTACAGACGGACATACAATTTTAAACGGAAGGTTCGGACGACGGACAAAATGTGATAGTTAAGCCTTGTCAGGCTAATTACTGTACATGAATTCTTTTCAATTAATCATCTGATTTATCTGATTTTCCACGAGTATTTACCTTTTCGATATTGCAAAATGTTGCTTGTTCTCCATAAAACATCTACACAAAAGTAACAGCTTCCCGAACCGCCACTGTTAAGAAAATAAAAAAGGGAATCAGCTTTTCTTTAAAGAAAAGTACATACCCTTTCATTTCGTGGCACCCATTTTTTTTTTAAAAGGTTAAACTCAAAATATCAAAGTTTAAAATAAAGAATTTTTTATAACCGTGTCTTGCTTACATTGAACGTATTGCAATACGTTTAACAAATGTTACAATATACATGTGCCTCTATTACGCGTGTTAAGTATTTTGTTTACCAATCTTAAAAAAAGTTTTCAGAAAAAGAAGAAATACAAGGATTGTCTTAGAAATATTAAAAAAACTCTTTACTTTAACAAGGCTACGTACATTTCAATGGTTTCTTTTTAATTTTCTATTTATATAAAGCACAGTTTAAGTTCATGTCACTTGTAAAACTCTTTCAAACATTTTTCAAACTTCTTCTCATGAAATGCAAAAAGAAAATGCAAAACTTTTACTAAAAGGGAAATGAAACAAACAGTGATCAATCTTATAAAAATCCTCAAATAATACAAATATATGAAGAGGGCATTAAAAAAACCTCTGGAATTTCAGTGGTGGGAGCAGGTGCCTGGGAGGGAGAATTAAGCATCCCTTACCTGCTGACCATAAACATCGTGACATTGTTGCCAGCCTGTTGGGGCCCGGGGTTGGGGTGAATGAACAAATTCTCACAATTTAACTCAGTTTCGTCCTCATCGCTGTCCCATTTCTCGGCAGTTATCGTTGTAATGACGTCATTTCCCGATTCCTGACTGTACCAGTCTCCATGGAAATAGTCAGGTATGGCGCATCTACCTGTTACCTTTACTGGTTTCGAAATAAAAATTAATTTATTACAGGAATAGTTATTTTGACATCTGTGATCAGTGATTTAACGCCGTGAATTATTACTTTTTTAAATTTGCCTTCGGCATGCTTTAGCTTGCTTAAATAATCCTTCCATCATTGTTTTTGGGTTTTTTTTAATTATTTTTTTTATTCATTTTGCATCTGAATGCATGAATACTACGCATTACGTTTAAGGACATATAATACCAATAAAAAGTGGAAGTCTGGATTGATATATATTTTATACATTTGATTGTAAGAGAAACAATAATGCAAATAGTAAATAAAAAACTATATTAACAATCTGGAAACTTTCACCGATGTTCAAAATTGTACCTTTCTGCAAGCCTTCTTTTGATAAATGCTTTAAAACCTTTTTATAGTGTGTTTTATAGCTCTAATTTACTATAGTAAATAAACATTCTAACTATTATCAGAAAAATATTAAACCAGTTTTGTATATTTACATATTATTACCAACCTTGACATCACTATTATTAAATTGAATAAATTTTAAACTTAAGGTTCCCGTGTTAGTTAATTGTGGCAATTTGTAATTCACTCAAATTTTATTTTGTTTTAGAAAGGTTCAATATTTGCAAGTTTATGTCGTTAATAGCTTCATTGGAATTTTTTTTCCAACTAAGGCTTTTATAAGGTAAACAGATAAAATGGGTATTACATATTGTGTAAATTAATTTTCAAAAATAATACATATTTGTAGGGTAGTAAAAAAGTTTTCTAAAGAGGAACAGTAGCAAATGATATAATCTAGTTTGAAAGTTTCTCATGTTTTTCGATCAAAATGCCACCAACATAGAATAGATAATTAGAAAAGAAAAATTCTGAAGGGGAATTCTGAAGATTCTTTTGTTAAGAAAAAAAGTTGTATGTTCTGAACACTATGATCTTAGAAATCATACACATATCCATTTTTTTTAATTTAATTGTTATTCCTGACACTTCAGAATTGAAAATTCTCATAATTTTTATTTAAAAAAGCATGGAATTTCCTTACAGTCCCAATTACTAGAAAGCTTTGTCATGTTCACGTTTACAAGAATATAAGGCTTTCCACTGTGGGACGTGGAGACCTGTCCTTTAGTCGGATGAGCTATGCTAAATCCCGTGTTCCAAAAGCTAAAGGGTTCTCTGGTGTGGAAAATTCGAAATGGCCCTGAGTGTCACAGACAGACAAAGTTTGAAGCTCTCCACCGGCAAGTGGTGGCTTCTCATTATGAGTGAAAAATTTTCAAGAGGGGCGTTAAAGAACATACACTCAATCAATTTCCAAAACTGATATAAAAACAAGCAGAGAAAATATTTATCTGCTGTCTAGATCTGCCGAGGAATTAAGATTATACAACTTTACTTAAAATGACATTGAACAAGTGTAAATGTCAGTATGTAATATCATTATGCAATATAATGCATGAAATGTTTGACAATTATGGTATAAATTTTCCAACTGCACGAAGATTGATAGAAAAATATGTGTGTAATTCAACATATGCGACAAAATGCTCTAATTTAATGAATAAAGACCCAATCATCCTTCATTTTTGAATTTATAAAAGGAAAATTTTAGTCAGTTAAGGATAGTATATGAATATTGTTAAATGCTGTAGATAATGCTTCCCATTTTTTACAACAGATAAATATTATGATGTTATGTTATCGTGTAAACTTTCTTTAAATCAAAAAAATTAAGTACCGGTATATCCGATGCTCGGCCAGGACGGAAAACTCTTTGATTTGTAATTTATTAAGAAGTCCCAAAAGATAGCTTGAAATAGAAATCTTTTCGTGCAACAATTTTCATTTTATATTTCTCAATACGATTAAAGCATCTTTGACGTTTTTAGAAACGGCATATTTAGAAAAATCGAAATTTTTTTAATGAAGCCACAGCTACCAATGTTTATTAGCAGGATATCAAATAAAAAAAATTATGTGTTGTGTTTTTGATGAAAAAAAAACCTCTTCATACACTATGCATTAAACAATGATCGAAGTAAATAGGATATACTAAAGTTTTAAATAAGTGTAAAATTCAAGCAGTTTTCTTCAAAAGCCTGGATATCTATGTTTTTTCGCAGAATGTATTTGTTGATCAATTTTCAATTACAAAATAATGCCGTAGAGATGTTTTATTCGCATTTTTTGAAACTTTATTCTATATAATGTGATTAAAGATGGGATTTCAAGAAACACAGAGAATAAATACTAATTAATTTGAGAACTAAGTGACATCTTTTTGAGCATTTTCAATAACTCAATGCCTGATTTTCAAAATCTGAGGATAGGATTAACTTAAACTTGGATAGAAAGCAAATCGCTTTGAAATCTGGATGATTAATAATCTGTCTATTTGTGTTTTGATACAATCATATTAAAATCTCTCTTTTTATAATGTTATTGTTTTCGTAACTTCACAATCCCAGAAGCAAGAAAAAACAACAACTTAAGGTAAGTTACAAAAATAACTTTGAACAATAAAGATAACTTTTTACTAAAACCCCTTCCTCAACACTTATATATTAGTAGTAAACATTTCGAAGCACCAATATCTTCTCAAGACAGATATTTTGAAGACAATGCAAATTGTAAAATATGCAATTCACAGACGTATAGATATTAATGCAGAAGACATTTCTAAGCATGCAGATGTATATGTATAATATAACACTGTAACTTACCGGTCACATGTAGAATTAAGATTAAACGTATTACGAATTGCACCGCAACCATTTTCTTAGATTTTTGTGCAAGAGTTTCGTGAAAAGCGGATTGGAATGAATTTATATGTGGAAAATATGGCTAGCCCACGTGATCGGTCTGTCGTAGTTTCTGATGATTAATTGAGATAAGAGATAATTCATTGTATTAAACTTTACTGATTGTATCAAAATAACACCATTTTCGCAGAAAGTGAGAGTTCTGTGAAAAAGCAAATTGAATGAATTTGGAAAATATTTCTAGCCAGTGGTTTAACATGTGATCGACACGTCGTAGTTTCTGATGAGAAAATGAGCTAATAGATAAATTCTTGTATTACCTTCACTGTTTGAATCAAAATAACATGTTTTACACTGGATGTTACATTCTCTAACAATTTATCAAATGTCAAGAGGGAAATTATAAGGTATTAATCAAAATTTATGTGAACGACATATATGGATACAATTCCGGAGCATATCAAATATGAACATTAAAAACGTTAGAGGTGATACATATATCAGGTGTCATGAAGGAGTGAGCATTCTAGCTATAAGAGCTGTGTGCCCCTTGAATTAATCAGGAAAAATTAAGTGTGTAATGAATGACAATTAGTATGAACTTCAAAACGACAGTCAGCATATAATGAAAATAATGTTTTTTTGTTGATAAGGACATTTTTCGAGCAAACGTAATTGCAAAATGATGAATTCAAATGCGACTGTTGATATTTTGTTTTATCAAAAATGTTTTGGAAATTGCTTAATAAATTCAAATTCGTAGAGCATGCTTTTGCGTATCGAAGCAACTGAGAGACATAAACCCCATATATAGGTGAGAATGATGTATTGCTACATAAAATATTTCCAGTTGTTGATATGAATTTGATTTTTATAATTGCACATGTTACAAAATCTGACATTTTAATGTAATTGTGCAATTCGAACGTTAGCCTTGACACTAACCTTCACTCAATAGTTAACAATATAATAGCCTTGGCATAAAATATTATATAACCAAAAACAATTTCGGTATTATAATAGGTCTTTATGCTGTATTGATTTTTTAAAATCCTATTTATAGCAATTTGCATACTTTTTGTGATTTCAGTTTGTGAACATGGGCTTCGGCATCTTCCCAAGTCAAGAGTTTCTGATCCGCTCCGCTCCACATAAACCCTTGACCGAATAGGCTAAGTTTGACGGGGTTTACTGTCACGCCATCTAGTGAGATTACACATTTTGAACTCTACTGACCTCTGCTATTAGCCAATCAGAGTAAACGAATTTAACAGAGAATTCGAGATAATATTGGTAGTCGGTAATAAATTCAATATCACTCAACTAAAAAGCCAAGACAAACCTTTGACTGTTCTATTAAAGGAAAAAGATGTTATCCTTGAGACGAAAACTGGCGTGGTTTTCTGTTTACGATTTAGTTTCAGTTTAAATAAAACAATGACTTTGATTGGTTCATGCAAACTTACATGAGGCCAATCAGAGAACGCATTTCTAACCCCATCAAACTTAGCCTATTCGGTCAAGGGTTTATGTGGAGCGGAGCGGATCAGAAACTCTTGACTTGGGAAGAAGAGGCTTCGGAAACAAGGTGAAAGTAAGGGGGGGGGGGGTGGCTAAACCAACAAAAAAAAGTAAACTCCAAATTTCACTGCCTATATCATGTATATATTTACAAAAAATGAGGGGCTATGCCCCCCTAGCTCCCCCCGGTTCCGACGCCTATGTTGAACTAGCCATAATACCTATGATAAACCAAATTCGTAATTCGCATTGACTGCAGGAAATATATGCATATAAAGATCCGTATTCAAGCACGAAAGTTCATTCGCACAATATCAGGGATCAGGAGTGGAGGAAATACACATCTACACTAGCTCAGAGTTTGGATAAGGTACCATGGTGGAGTGAACACCCCTTGCCGACCAGTCACTTCTGATCAAGTTTCTTGTGCCTATTTGTCAAAAATCTTTAAAATACATATTGTAACAGGTGAAAACAAAACAAATTAATAAATAACAATGAGAATTTAATGTGAATGAGCGTTTTCCTTGATTAATTTTTTAAAATTCTTTATTAATTTTACACAATCTGTTTCATTGTTCCTCTTTCAAAATTTAATATTTTTACAGATTGTTTTTTTTGAGAGAGAGAAAAACAGAGAGCACGAGTGAGAGAGAGAGTTGGAATGTTAATTCCTTTACATAAATAAGACTGTGTAATTTTATAAAAGTTTATGATACAATTGATTCCACTGATTCCATTTGATGTCAAAAATCTCTCTGTCACCATTTTAATATGCTAAATATGTATGAGTTTCAGAGAAAAGTTTAATATGTGAAGTCAAGTCTTTAATATACTTTCTTTTCTATAAATCTCATTGTATATATATAATCCATACGGCCAGCAAGTTATGCATATCTTTGTTTTTTGCTCGAGATCCCATAATAATACTTTGCTTTGTAAATGAAAGTGCAACCCTATCCTTTGTTCACAGTATCTTTCAAAACTTTTGAGGAAGGTCTTACATTGTCATACTCCCATAAACATGTTTTTTTTCCATATTGCAGAAAGAACATAAGTTATCATCTTTTTCCTAATATACATACTAGATATGAGTTTGTACCTAGTATTTTATTTAAAATTCTATATTAAAACCATTGAAGTTTACTATTTTTTGTAATTTTAAATGGAAGTTTAAAAATCATCTTCCATTCATTTTCCCCTAAATTAAAAATATAGGATATTTGGCGGAAATTGATTCAGAAGTTATTGTTGATTTGATAGTCTTGCTGACTTTTCTAAAGAAAAAGGATATATACAAAGCGTAAAAACATATTTCGTGGTTAGGGGGTGTTAGTAGTCCTTGACTTCTAAATTATCTTTATACCTACGACTCTTCAAACAAACTCAGATCACAGATCTGCGATTTCAACGGGGATGGGGAGTCTGCCTTTTCCTGAGGGGAATACAAGGTCACTTTTATTTTGCAAAGTCCGGCGAAAATCCGCGCATGAATAATAATAAAAAAGAAACGGTAAGAAATAATACACATAAAGAAAATATATTTAAAAAAAACAAACTAAAGGACTGATTGTTGGTTTACGCCTTTTACGTGAATTTTCACTAATATTAGACGTAATAAGCTGAAATGGGAAAATGTCTAATAGTTATTTTATTAAGGGGGGACCTATGTCGTTCTACGTCAAAGCAGCGTTATGTGACGTCACAATAGCGACGTTTGTTTTTACCTGTTGACTTTTGCAACTGTGATATAGGCATAACATTGTTAATAATCAGAACCGTACACAATTTACAAAAAGAAAATTTATTCATCATTAATAACCGTTTTATTTGATTTATGGAGTTTGTTAATATTAGAATGATCTTCCTTCGGTTGATAATTCATAGCAATTTCAGTTGTTAAGAAATACCTCGATGATATGCTGATATATAAGTGCAAATAGATAAGATTAAATTCAGCAAAGAAAGCAGCCTAAATCAGGGAAATATGTTTCATTTTATGTTTACCATTATTTGTATTTTCAGGATAAAACTAAGAAAAAAAAAATTAGAAATGTACTTGTACCTATATTTGCTTATTGATTTATAATACATTTAGATTTTATTGTATAAAGTCATTCCTAGGTTCTGATAGGTGTTGATTGACGGGGAAATGGGGGGGGGGAGAATGATTTGAATGAAGAAGAAAAGAATTAATCTGTTTAAATTTTTCTAATCAAAATAAAATACTGGTTTTCGCAAAATAGTTTTATATTCGGATTTTTGTCAGTACTTACTTACCTTATTTTAGTGCAAAAAGGTCAATATTTATGACACAAGAGTACGAAAATAAAAGAAAACGTCATATTTCTCGTTTATTTTATCATAAAGGTATATTTTTTTCTTTGTTAAAATAAATAGATGAATCATTTCTTTTAAAAAATATGAATTACAACATTTTCACACAAAAGCTTTTTAAGATATTATCTGTTATGCATGTCGGACTTATAAAAAATACGACAAGAAAAACGGGGTGATACTTACATTGTGCTCCATTATAATTTTTCATGCGAGATGAATTACCGTGAATTTGCAGTCATTTTAAAGATGCAAGTCATATAAATTCAATACCTGTTGATTTTGAATGTTTTTTGTCATTTTTGGTTCTTTTTAGCGCATATTTGGGGTAGAACAGTGGATTCTGAAAATAATCTATTTTTAGCATTTCACACTGTTTTTGCACGTGCTCCTGTGTAAAAATAAGCATATAAAGGCATTCTTTTTAATACCTAAAAATTAAGAGCAAGTGGTCAGGAAAGAAATGTCAAAGTTTTGAAAATTTCACACAAAGACTTTTCGGACAAAGCCCCCCCCTTAAATTATTACGATAGTGGTCATTTGAAAGCAAATATGTGTGAATTTCCTTTTTCTTAAAATCCCTGTAATTTCTTTTGTGCTCTGTATACCGGATCAATATTCACGACGTCAAGCGTGACGTCGCGATATTTTATGACGTTGTTCTTGAAAATGCTATATTTTTCAATATGATTAAATTACGAAAAATGAACCCAAAGACATATTAATTTATTTACATAGATGTATTTTAAATCAATTCTATTAATCAAATATCAAAGGATAAACAAATTCGTTTGCACTATTTCAAAATTATTTATATTTTTGTAAACATAACCTTACCTAAAAAACAAGCCAAAAACGACGTTTTTCCTATAGAATTCAATAGAAAACCGTTGGAAATGTAACTACAACAATGACATCTTTGGAATTCAATTACACAAAAACGGTGCAGACGAATTTTATAAAAGTTTCAGAGAATGGAAATCAAAGGTAGGAAAATCATATAGGTAATTTTCATGGTATGTTTTCGAACACTTTTAAAAGCCCTGTAAACCCGCGACCTACGTTAATTCTGGAGAACCCCCGGAGCCCTTTTCAACCATTTCACAACCTGTAAAACTACTAGTACTTAGAATTCAAACATGGAGAAAGGCTGAATCGATTGAAAATGGGTTCAGTTCACCCTCGGGGAAATTAAAATTAGGTGA